TTGAGAGTCGACAAAGATCTGTTGACAACACGAAGACGACTTAGTACCAGAAAAGGCCATGCATTGTTTACGAAAGCCAGCCTTCGTAGAAGGCGCCAGCTGAGTTGTGCTTGGCGACCGAAGTGAGTAGTTTAGGGGGTCTGGGTGGGGTGGCCCATAAAGGTACACGTAAACTCGGCGCATGCTGGGGGGACGAGGGTGCACGGAGAGGTGATTTTGGAGCGGGTGGTGATGCAAGAAATGCAATTTGCATCGTTTGCATCATCTTGGCACCTTGCCAGGTATATAGTTGGCGCCCTGCCAGGTATAGATACCCAGGGTAGCTACAATTCAGTTGCCAGGGTAGCTACAATTCAGTTGCCAGGTATAGTACTTCAAGTTCCCTTTCCATCATCTGAATGGTAAGGTCTAGTTGGCACCTTGCCAGGTTTAGATACCCTGGGTAGCTGTAGTGCAGTTACCAGGTATAGTACTTCAAGTTCCCTTTCCATCAACCGCTCGATAACCTTTACACACGCACAGCAATCCGCAGCTTTGAAGTCTCATGCGCGCAACACCTGGGAACAGAAGTGTAGCTACGCTGGGTCCGTATAAATGCTATGTTGCTATACCTCTTACACACCCATATAAGTTCAAAGCGCGAATGAGACTTCAAAGCTGTGGTTTGCTGTGCGTGTGTAAAGGTTATCGAGCGGTTGACGGAAAGGGAACTGGAAGTGCTCATGCTACTGAACTGAGTTACCTTGGGTCCGTATTGTGCTATACTTCCATATCCGCTACAACAAGGTCGATGTCGGATGGAGTTTCAGTGCTTTTCCTATTTGCATGGACCCTTTCCGCTGCCCTGGGTCCGCGCGCGCGCGCGCCCTCCTCTACGGTCGAGTGGGCGCCCACAAGGCGCGCGCGTGGACCCAGGGTGTTACTGCCAGGAGTCGCCACTCGACAGAGTTGACAAAATCGCTGTTCCTGACCAAAGCTGATACTTCGAAATACGCCACTCGTGACAAAATCACGCTGGCTTTCGTTTTGCAGCTTCTCAGGTAAAATCCATATCTAGCCTAACATTGAATTCTCTGATTGGCCTTACTACTAGGAGCAAGGATGCTACTAGGCGCTCCTGGCCTTACTACTAGGAGCAAGGACGCTACTAGGGGCCCCTGGCATCGCTACTAGGAGCAAGGACGCTACTAGGGTGATTGCCGAGATGACTCTCGAGTTGTTTACCATGTTCAATTGAATGGGGTTCAAACTGTTTGCGCGAGCTGAGCTGTCTGTTGTTTGGCAACAATTCCCAGGGAGTCCTGCAGAAATTACTCTGACGCAGCTTATGCTTTTGAGCAGCAAATCTTTTCCAGGATTTTACAAATGTTCCAAGTTCGATCTATTGGCTTAATGAGCTTAACTTTTGGAGTATTTGGTTGCGCACACTATCCATAAGGGTCACATCAATCACCTCAAGATGCCACAAGTCGGTGAAACCCCCCAAAGGCAATCAGGAATCCAACCAAAAGCCTATGGCACGCCTCACATATCCAAGGGGCAAACAAGCAAGAACAAAGTGGCAGGTGCGCTTTTCTCCGGATGAGACAAAACACTTGCTATTGCGATTGCCCATACTCAATTACAGGCACTTATGTTAAGATCCATCTGATCAAAATGAACGCGGTCAACTTTCCTAGTGCCTGACATGACTATAGGTGGGCTCTTGCTTGTACTTTCTTCTCTCGTCGCATCTTTCTTCTTCTTTCGTCTTCTTCTTCGCAGGATCGACATTCGTGGCACTCTTAGGTTAGAGGCCACCGTAAGTAGGTTGGAGGCCATCGCTTAGTAGCTTGGACGCCATCGCTAGCAGGTTGGAGGCCATTGCAAGAAGGTTGGAGGCCATCGCTTCTAGGTTGGAGGCCATCGCTATTGTGTTGGAGGCCATCGCAAGAAGGTTGGAGGCCATCGCAAGTAGGATGGAGGCCATCGCAAGTAGGTTGGAGGGCCACCGCTCTTGGGTTGGAGGCCATCTTTCTTACTTTTCAATGATTGGGTGACTGAATTCTCAAATTCTGCTGTTGTTTCTTGTCTTCCTGCCTGTCCCTGTAGTCGTTGATTGTGTGTGCAACATGCTGTCTGGGATCTATGTTGGTGCAATTTCAATTCTATTCTCTTGGTGCTTCAGGTGAACTCACGAGGTCAGAAGCGTGCGGTTCTCAGAAAGGAGAAGGACACTTGAAACTAGGACCGCTAGGAGATCTTGAAGTCTTTTCTATGCTTTTTTGTTTTGAACTTGGAACCCGTGCTGTAGACATGAACTACATCCCATAGTGGTTCCAAGAAATCCCAATGAACTTGCAGAAATCCTCAACGCGAGCAGTCGACTAGACCTTTCTTGAACTGAGGTTCAAAGGGTTTCAGTTTGGGACATGCTTCTCCTGGTTCCAGGATGTTCTGTCGAGCTTTGGAGTTCCAACATTCAACATTCCTCGTATGTGCAGGAATCCAGTGCATCGGGCAAAGGAGTTTCTAGAAGCTTCGATGAGAATTACAAGTTTCAATGGGACCATTCCCTATTTTGCGGTTGGAGCATTCTCCTGAAGGAGAACTTGGTCGCAAGCTGCAATGACATGCTTTCAGGCTTGCTGCAGGCAGAGAATCATAGACCAAGCTGAACATGAAACAAGCAAAGCAAAAGTGATATGCTAATAGGCTTGTACAATGCAATGGGATAGTGGTTGCACACATGCGAGTAAAATTCAAACCTCTATCAGATTCTCCGGTCTTTGAACTCTAGTTTTGAAAGCTAAAACAAGACACCCTACAAGACATGTTCTTTCTTGTTTGAAGAACAGCTCAAGAACGATTGCAACATAACATCGCTAGTAGGTTGGAGCCCATCGCAAGAAGGTTGGAGGCCATCGAAAGTAGGGTGGAGGCCATCGCTAGTAGGGTGGAGGCCATCGCAAGTAGGTTGGAGGCCATCGCTAGTAGGGTGGAGCTTGGAGGCTATTGCATGGCCTCGAGGCCATCCCTACTAGGAGCAAGAAGCTACTAGTAGCAAGGACGCTATTAGGTGGGCAATGTTGGGGACCCGACTTTTTCTAGTAATTGCAATTCTAATTAAATTCTTATTGTTACTAGTAGTAAGGCACTTGTTACTAGTAGCTTCTTGTTACCACTAGTAAGGCACCTGTTACTAGTAGCGATGCACTTGTTACTAGTAGCTTCCTACCCTGGAAGAAAGGACGCAGGGGTGCTGTGTGAGAGGTCGCTCTTTGGACGTTTCATTACCACTAGGTGTTTGATGTAGGAAGCTTGCAGGCCTTGCTTCTTTAAGATTTGAATACTTCGTTCATCTACTCTATAAGAGCTTGAACAAAGATTCTGGAGAAAAGCAAGGCAAAGCCAACATTTCTAGGGAAATAAAGAGCACTGTGGAGGTGTCTAGAGGAAAGAACTGAACAGTATTGATTGCAAAGGAACATACACAAAAAAGAGCAGACATTTGGAGATAAGTATAGAACACTAGAGTTTAACCGCTGTTGGCGTGTTCCGCCGGCCATCCGGGTGAGACTAGGGGCGTTGTAAAAATCCGCGCCTAAGGAAAGTCTATATCACAACCAATAACCAGGACACTAACAAGCAACGTCCACAAGACACGCCGGCAGGCCGGTGGATTTCTACAGAAAAATGTCCAAAGAAAACTCGACGCAAGTCAGGGCCCCCGCATTCGCAAAGATCAGCACACACCACCACATCACTCACCACGCATGGCACCAACACATTGCACACTGTATGAAACCTCACGGCCATAGTTGCCAGCTTCGATTCCTGACATAGGAAGATCAACATCTTCACATACGAAAGGCACCAGCGAGAGAGGCTCCAAAACTGCTTCTCGACGCCCTCCATTGACATAGAAGCAAGGAAGTTGCTTCGGAACAACACTTTTTCTTCTCTGATTTGTCTTCCTTTGAGCTCTAGCAGAGCTATCTGGCAAGGCTTTTACTATTTTGTCCATCTACGGAAGCCTCTACTGTACTTGTCTCCAAGTCTTTACCTTGTTACAGCATCAATGTAGAAGGAAAGACAAATCCAAAGTGACAAAAAAAATACTCATGACTCAAGAGAAAAAGGTAAGGCAACGAAAGAAGAAGGTCCGAAGAAAGGAAAGCAAGAAAGACAGAAAGAAAAATAGTAAGAACAGAATGCAGTGGCACCTTTCGCTGCAATCACCGGCTCAGCGCTTGCTTGACTGCCACCCCCCGAGCCTCCCACAAACTAGACGTCCTGAAGTAAGCTTCCAACAGCCGCTAAACCCACACATGTCATGTGCTTACTAGGAGCAAGGACGCTACTAGGAACAAAAGATATCTAGAAAAGCGCATGTGTTTGCCATGAGAGGTGCCCAATTCTGAAATTCAGCACGGCCACAAAGAATACGCCTCGTCCAAGCGTCTCATGAACCCAAGGTGACATTAGTGACTTCGTTTTGAAAGAAAGTCACGCATATTGCGCCTTTAAGCAACTCATTTTTAACATGGAAGATCACACATCCAACACATTCTTTCTTCTTTCTTTCACACTGTATTCTCATTTACGTTTCAGGACACATTGCCTGAGATGATCCCAGACACTTTGGATTCAGCACTGAGTGCAAATGCCCTGGAAGATACCACACTGAGTGGCAGCATGTGCCACCTGCCACTTTTAAACACATATTTTTGATAATTTGAAATCATTCTTCAGCACCTGCAGGTGCTTTTGCTTTGCCTTGTGCGGCTTAGGCGTCCAACAGCTTCTTGCAGAAGGGCATCGGTTGGTCCTTGTTTTTGCCCAAGGTGCCAAGCCAGGGCAGGCAGCACACTTGTGGAGTCAGCGCTGTCCACATTTTCAGGTTCTTCCATCAAGTCCTCAGCTTCAGCAGGAGACAAAGAAGCAAAAGAAGAAAGAAAGCAAGAAAAGAAGCAAATGAAAAGACACACGGAAAGACAAAAAAGACACCAAAAGAAGAGGAAAGACACAAAAAGCGAAGAAGAGCAGAACACACAAAGGAGATAAGGGGAAGGTCGGTCGCTTCGCTGGCTGAACATGAAGTCTACTGGAATTCTTTCTTTAAAAAAGAGATGGCCTCCAACATAGTAGCGATTACCTATTTTTACGCAGAAACAATAAGGACGCACGAGGTTGAAATGATTTTGCCCCATTGAATATGCTTCGAGAATTCCCTCATAGTTTGGAGGCCATCTCTAGTAGGTTGGAGGCCATCGGCCCTGCTATCTAGAGCAGCGATTGGTTAAGAAGTGTGTGGGATTGCTGGATTTTTTGAGCCATCCATGTCAACTTTTTGGAAGTTTGAGTGATTTGCAATGCTTCAAGACACATTCCGCCCCCATGTCCCCACATGCCTATGGAGTCAAGTTCCTGAGATTTGTCTCTTTGTTTTCTCAGCCGCGAACTACAGACACTGAATATTTAGCAACTTGAAAGTCAAACGAGAGGATAGCTTACCCCAAGACTAAGACTGGCACATGTTCTGCTCAAGTGTTAAATCGCTGCAATCTTGTTTGTTCACAACTGCCAGGCCTTATGCTTTGTTGTATACTACCCACAGTGACCTGCGGCTGTGAATGTATGTGCATTTCACGATCCTGACTTTGCCTAAGGGTATGAGTGTCACAATGTCACGTGAAGCGAAACACTACTGCAAGGGTTGAAGCACAGCATTCCGAGAGCATTGCAATTCGTGTTCGGAGGCCATCGCTAGTAGGTTGGAGGCCATTGCTATTAGGTTCTTTTTGCTAGTAGGTTGGAGGCCAGCTGTTAGTTTCAGCTTTTGTTCTTGCAGAACAAATCGCGCAGGAATTCCAGCAAAGCCTGGCGAAAGTCACTGTGCGCCACAAGCGGGTGATCCCTGTGAGTGCAGCTCGCTGAACATTAAAAACACCTAAACAACTCAGGTGTTTGTTAGAATTATCCCGGCAAGAGACCCCAAATAGTGTGTGTGAGGTCTGTAAGCAGAAAGTCTAGAGATCTAGACGCATTGGGGTCCAGAGAGGTGATGGTGGTGATGAAGTGAAGGTGGGTGTGAGTGAGTGTGGGTGAGAGGGAGTGTGAGTGAGAGTGGGAGAGTGAGTGTGAGTGCGAGTGTGAGTGAGAGTGAGTGTGGGTGAAAGTGAGTGTGAGTGAGAGTGAGAGTGAGTGTGAGTATGAGTGAGACTGAAGCTGGGTGAGTGAGTGTGGGTGAGAGCAAGCACAGCCCATGGTGAACCTCGAAGTGCAGATTTCGTGGCAGGCGCAGTACTTTGTGCTCTCAGATGCTCACTCTCTCACTCTCCCACTCTCCCACTTTCACTCACAATCACACTCACACTCGCACTCTCACTCCCACTCACACTCGAACTCACACTCACATGCACACTCACTCACCCACACTCACTCTCACACTCACTCACACTCGCACTCACACTCACTCACTCTCACCCACACTCACTCGCACCCACCTTCACTCTCACTCACACTCACTCACACTCACACTCACTCACACTCACACTCACTCTCATTCACTCACTTTGAGGTTCACCATGCGCTGTGCCTGCCACGAAATCTGCACTTCGAGGTTCACAAAGTGCTGTGCCTTCCACGAAATCTGCATTTCGAGGTTCACCAAGTGCTGTGCCTGCCACGAAATCTGCACTTCGAGGCTCACCAAGTGCTGCACCTGCCACGAAATCTGCACTTCGAGGTTCACCAAGTGCTGCACCTGCCACGAAATCTGCACTTCGAGGTTCACAAAGTGCTGTACCTGTCATGAACTCTGCACTTCAAGGTGTGTTTACCATGAAGACAGGAGCAAAAATGCACATCTTCAAGGTGTCGCCCAAGGCTTCAGGTTTTTGAGGCTTTCACAGAACAGTTCAGACACGAAGAGACTTGAAGACATTTCTGCGCCTCGGAAACTTCCTTGTCACACATCCTTTGACTCTTATCGTCGTTACAGTGTTACATGGAATTCCTGCCGTGATTGGGCTGTGGTGCACCGGGCCATTGAAAGGCCCACACAGTTCCCAGTGTTGGCTTTGTTTTTCTCCGCTCGTGTTTCATGCGTGGCGCCCGAAATAGCCTAGGCAAAGACGGCCATTCCAACGTAGCCTAGTGTGAGCCACCCGACATACTGTAAAATCTGCAGCAGGAAGGACCCACTCCAATGTAGCTAGCCTTTTGTGAGCCAACCTTTGATAACTATTTTTACAGAAAGTGCCCTTAATGTAGTAGCAAGGGCGCTATTAGGTGGAGACCATCGCTACTAGGAACGAGAGGCTACTAGTAGCACACCATTCATGTAGCATTTTTTTTGTACCACCCGAGACGTGAACATTTTGGCTACAAAGGATGTCCTTTGAACCATTCAGAGTCGAGAGAGAGAGAGAGAGAGAGTGAGAGTCAAAGGATCCGGCTACTGGAAACATGGAAACAAGGTGAAACAAGAAACACGTGTTTCCCTTTTCAGCCTTTCTGCCCCAACTCGAAACTAGCAGTGCTGCAGCTTGCAAGTTGGGTGCTGTCAGCTTCAGTCAGCTTGTTGCTCTTGCACCTCCTTAGGCAGTGTCTCAGAAACAAGTGCCGGGGTAGTTGCCTCAGGAACGACACTAGGGGCTCCTGGCCCTACTACTCGGAGCAAGGACGCTACTAGGGGCTCCTGGCATCGCTACCTCAAAACCTGATTGTCGAGTTTTGCTTTTGCTTTCGCTGCGCATAGGTTTGGCTGTGGAGAAGGCGTTGCCGGTGGCGCGTTTTGCAAGGTCCTGAGGTTTCAATCGGAGGCGATGTTGCGTAACTGGTTTTCATGCAGCACAGAGCCCCTGCGTGCTTGGTTCAATCGCATAGCGCATCCCAGAAAACATGTCAATAGGCATTTTTTCATTTTCATGGTTGGAAGCGAGGCAATAGCCTTCTGGCAATTGACTCAGGAAAGACAACTGCCTTGAGCCCACAGGGTGCATCAAAAACAATGAAAAAGACACGACCCTGCGCTGATGTTAGCTGCCTCAACCACACCTGCATGTGCCAAGCACACCACAACAACCACCGTTTTACCACCTGTACCGAAACGGCGAAATGACGTGGTCGCACCGGTCGAAAAACAAAGCTGACACAGTCGAAACTCCGTAGTGCACGGTTCCCGAGATTTGGTCTCTTCGAGCAAACGGACTGCAAGGAAACGCATCAGCCAGCATGGGAAGCTGCTAGAATGCGTTTCTTTAGCTTGGTCTAGACAGCTTTGCCTTGTTAGTATGCGTTGCGTTTGGGTGGGCACTTTGCCCTTTGCCCGTTCTTTCGCAAACCTTGCCACGATGACGCTGCCCCCGGAAATCAAGCTCGCGCATTTGTCGGGTGTTCATAAACCTGTCGAGAGCGTTTCACAGTCGTGAACTGGTCTTGGTCCTTTGGACGAAGAGAAGGTAGAGTAGAGTCAGTAGAGTAGAGTCAGAGTAGAGGAATCAAGAACTGTGTGAGCAAAGGAAGCAGTGGCCTTGTGAGGTCTTGGTGTTGGGCTGCATTCTTTGGCCCCATGCCCAGCGAAGAGTGCAAACCGAATGTTCCAACCCAATAAGTCTTGAAGGAAATGGTTTTGATCGTCGCTATCAGGTTGGAGGCCATCGCTACTAGAAGCAAAAAAGGTCTAATATAGTTTGCTCTCAGGTTGCACTCCATTCTTTGGTGTTCTCCCCGTGTGGCTTAGGGCCTTGCATGTTTGGCTGGCTGCGCCGTGACGTGCTTGCAGTTTGGTCGCTGGCTGCAGAGGCGCGATGACTAAAGCTTGCCAGAATTTCCAAACACCCCAAACTGCGCATGAAGAGAGAAATGTAGGAGCAAGGACGCTACTAGGAACAAGTGCATCGCTAGTAGTAACAGGTGCCTTACTAGTAGTAACAAGAAGCTACTAGGGGCTCCTGGCCCTACTACTAGGAACAAGAAGCTACTAG